GCATATTATCCCTATTCTAATGGTCCTAGGATGAAAAACTAGACAAATGTAGACATACCTGTTAGGTAAAAACTAGTAAATGAAATCATACCTTCAAAGATGTTCTGTATGATGAGATAGCTCTGTGTGACGACGATGAGGAGTGCGACGTGAGTCCAGGCGAACAGGCTGAACTGACGCATGTAGTAGCGCTTCACCAGGGACAGCACGAACCACACGAAGCCCACACAGTACAGACTGAACGAGATGAACCGGTGGTATGTCACCAAGAAGTGCAGGTAATCCTAAAAAAAAGGAAACTTTAGGCTCTTCTGTTTCTTACTAAGATTGCATTGATAATTTGTGATCCTCATTTTATATTATATCTCATAGCTATAGGATTTAAATAAAAACAATTAACAACCTATGTGTTCATACAAACTATGTTCTATATGAATGCTAAATTTCAGCGACATCTATTTGGCAGTCCTGGTCCTTCTATAATAACATCCATCCATACATCCAAAGAAAAGGAATAAGGTTATAAAATGTGCTACCAGATTCGTCAAATATCAATACAATTACGTGTACTATTGAAGTCAATATATTGTTTACGATACAAAATAATCGCTGTTTCGGTACAATAATAATTGCGCTGTAGTTAAGGTCGAACACGGTTACTTTCAATGTATTTTATTATTTTTATATGCACATAACTGATAGTGATTTGGTCGTTCACTATAATACTTCGTGATATAATATCATTGCCTTTCAGCGTGTTTTTACCGAAATTGGCAATATTTGTACGTCATGAATAGGCCACATTTTGTTGCCCTATACTATATGTCTTACTAATATTATAAATGCATATATTTCTATTGTATTGTAATATGTATGGATGGATGATGGAAAGTATCTATAGAACTGTTGAATAGATCTCGCTGAAATTTGGCATAGATGTAGAACATTGGAAGAACGCATAGATTACTAATTACGTATCTGAAGATTTGGTTGCCCACTTATTCTTATTATGCTGTTGCTATTGGTGTATCAAAAACCGCTACTTCGTAATTTTAAGTATCTTTTTTAATATGAATATCAATGTACATCGGAACTAAATGAAATTACTTCCATTATGGTTATCGGATAAGTCAATCTACGCTAATAGAGTGGCCTCGACCCTACCACGGATAGTACAAGATAATCGTTAAACCCATTATACAGGGAGTTCAACAAACGTATAATCAATATTTGTTTTAGATATGTAGCTTGAACTACTTTTTATAAACACTTTATCAACTGCAAGTTTTACTGCCGAAATACGCAATATTTTAAAAATATTATTAGCTTATTCGAACTTTTAGAAATCATTTTAAGTTTTTAGTTAATGTTATGAATTGGATTATACAACATCGCTACATCATTTATTAGAGGTCAATTAAAAATAAAAACTGAAAAACCCCCCAAAGTGCTTGAGTATTGCAGAATAACCGATTTGTTTCTTGTTTTAATCGAACAATATTAATCGAAGATGTTAATCACAAATACTAGCTACCTACAAAATTTTGTGACAGTAAACTCAACAGTTCAATTCATAACAAGCATACTGTAATTTATTGTTCAAGGTTAAGTCCTCGAAGTCGCAAAGTGCCAATTAAAGAGAAATCGTCAATTGCAAAATATTTTTTCACTTTTTATTAAAATAATGATTAGTTCGTACAGATTTAAACCAGTAAATTCTATTTTCATGTTGCATTATTACATTACGCTGACATAGTCAGTTGCTGACTATGAATTATCAGTAAAAGTCAGCAAATTTAAATCAATGATTCCAATTCTCAATAAGTATAGTCTGTTCCGTATATTACCACATAAATTAATAAAAAATTATCACTCACAGTTCTATTAATCACAACTCCAAAGTAGTCAATGAGGTTCTCTCCATAGAAGAAGTAGTTGGATGTAAGCAAGAAGTACCAGGAAAGAGAACGGAACCAAGGCAGGCCATGGACTCGGTAAACAGCATAGCCAATGTTAATGATCTCCTCGAAGCATTTCACTTGGACACAGAGAACCTAAAGAATTAATATAATTAATAATAGCATTTGTAAAAACTTTGAACATCCACTATATAAAGCCAGAGTGCTTAGCTGATGTTGAGGATAACCTCAACAAAAGCAATTTTATAAGATCATAAATTACTAAAGTAAAATTTATAATCAAACCAAAAACATAGTATGAAAACAACCTGTCTCATTAATTATAACAAACAGTGGACTTTGTTCATATGTAAAGTTCAATAAATAATATTAAAAAACATGACTTACATTATAATTGGTTCAACTTTATGTTTTAAAGTAAACATACATATCAGCAACTAAGAAAAAAGTTTTTTTTTTCAATGTTAAGGTGATAAACAACAGTCCAGTTTTAACTGGATTTATCCATCAATACCTTGTTAATTATTTGAAGTTGAATGTGACTATTAAAGTAAGTCCACATCTAGCACTGTACCGATAATACTCACAGTAATCATGAGTGCCAGTGGTCCACCGTAGATGAGCAAACAAAATGCTCCAATCATCAACCAGGTGAAGATACCTCGGATCACCCAGTTCCTCCATCTATATAAAATTGAAACATCTTTAAACAATACTTAATGAAAAGCTATATGTATGGTGCAAAGTAAATTTAATTCTATAGTTTTAATTTTTACGCATACTTGACTACACTATAAATACTGTTATGAAAAAATGATAGGTCCAGGAAATCAATTAAACAAGTTATTACCGTGAGAGTAATTTGTGAACTTTGATTTTATTATTAACTATGTTTTGAGTTAAAATAATTCATTCATTATTGAAGACATGACTTCTTTGATAATGCGAATTTGACGTGTTATAAGTACTCTGTACCATTTAAGATCCTATGTTAAAAACATACCGTGAAGACAATCCCGAGAGAGCTGAATCTAATATTTCAGGCGTTTTGTCCGTACCCTGAGGTAGAGTTTTCGCCAGTTCATCCACATACTTCTCCTCTAATACCTTTTCTTCTTCTGAATCCACCTAGAGATAATGTTTTATTTTTCATTTAATTATAGAACTATGAAAAATTACTTTATATAGAACAGGTTTTCAAATTACAAGAAATAGTTACATCTACATGATCGGATTCACCGGCGGTTTCGACTTTGTCATTCCCATCACCTTCACCGCGCCTATGCCTTAATTCACTCATGGTTTTTGCAAATTAGATATCACAAAACTGCAATACTCAAACGAATTTTACGACACTTTAATATTTTAATCCATTTACGAACAGCAGGACAACCGTCTTATGTTTTCCTTTACAGCTATTGTCAAACGAAAAATCAATAGTACGCTTTTTTTTTATAAATGTGTTGCTATAATTATAAATGAGTTCCGACATTTTATTGATTTTATTTAAAATAAGCAAATAAAAATGTTTAAATAAAACAACTGCAAAATTTACTATAAAACAAGTAGGAAAATAATAATAAAATACTGTAGTACTGATTTGGATAAAATATAACTTGAAGTTAAACTGCAAAGAATTGTAAGATCAAAGCTGAGCTAATAACTGAAACTTGGTTTGTTGGAAGATTATTGAACATTGTTAAATGAAAACTTTTATTATGAATTTATCATGACTTAATAAAAAAACGTTGTTGTATAGACTGAAGAAAGAATTTATTTTATCCTGTGACAAGAATGCTTATTATTTATATTCTGTGGTCACTTTAAAAAGTAAATTATAAAATGTAAATAAACATGGCGTGTGAATCCGACGAATTTGAGACAAATATTAATAACGTAAGTAATTATTGAAGGTGGCTTGTATGTAGTTATTAAGATAATTATTAAACATTTAATTTACAGTTAAGAGCTGCTGTACGAAAATCTTTTGCCCGTATCTATGCCAGTTTAAAAGCCAGAGAACTTAAGACACTGAGGCAACTTGATGCTATCCGTAAACAATGCCAAGATGACAAAGACTTAAAAAGGAATTGTGCTAAGAATATTGAAATTAAATATGACAATGAGTCCATGCTTTTAGAAAACATAGGTAACTACGGCATTATTGATTTCGAGAAGCTTAATTTTGATAGTTCAACATTTATACTTGAAGATTACGTTAGTCCTAACGATGATCACATGTATTCATACAAAACTATTGAAGAGGTGACAAAAGAGGAGGATAATGGTGACTTGGAAGCGATAGAAGAGGCTGCTTTGAAAGAAGTAATTTCTACGGATAATTGTGTGTGTTTTGTAACAGTTCAAACAGAGGATGTATCGAAGAAGTTCAGAAATTTGGACAATGATGTTATAACAATTAATGTAATCACTAAAGAAAATAATCACGTAAGTGAAAATGATGAGAGTGATTGTCCTGAAATAGTTGAAGATGAGAAGAATGAATCGGATTCAGATGTTAAGAAAATAAATCCTACAGATGATTGGTTAAAATCAATTAAAAGTCAAACGGAAACAGAACCATCACAAGTCACAGATGTCATGGAACACAGCACCATAACATGCACATAATGCAAGCTAGTATAAGGTAAATTTACATAATTTTAGTTTTATAAGATAGATGAAATAAATTTATATTTTTCAAGAATTTTGTTAGTTATTTAAATATCTACTCCAGGATGCTTTATAAATTTTATTCATACAAAAGCTTCATCATTTCAAATTAGTGTGCTATTTTAATTTTAATAACCTTAAAACTGAGAGATCTAAAATTTTGCACTTAATTTATTTTGCAAAATAGTGTTATATTTCTATTTATGTTGAGAATGGCAAGTAATAGATTATTTTTTTAAAGAATCTGAATCTCATCTGTCTGTAAAGGGATAAATTACGACCACTTAAAAGCAGCACTTAAATAAAAGAAATGCAGATTAAATTTCATGAAACTTTTCTTTTGTTTTTCCAAGCATAGTGTTAGTGATTTCTTCAGGAATTATTGGGATATTTGAAATAAAACCAGAATTAAAGCATCAACTTCTATTGTTAATACATTTTTACAAATGGCGTTACTGAACACTTAATAACTAATATGCATTGACTTCCGATTATAATTCCTAATGAATAAATATTACCCTTTATTATGTCCGCACTTTGAGTGCAGCAAATTACAATAATTGATACCAATTTTCCAATACCAATACCGATGCCGGATTAGCTCATCACATCTGTTAAATTACAGTTTTATTTATGGCACTTACACATGACAAACATTTTACATACCATCCTTAAAAGTTATTGTTGATGGATGGATTCTCTTTATTATGGAAAAGGTATTCTAGTTTGTACTCAACTTTTTCACTGGAAATCTTATAATGGCACAAAAAAGGGTGCTGGTGCTAAGAGGAAATGTTTTAAAGTCTATCCCATTCTGAATAAATATCGTAAACTTGTAATTATACCAACATGATTCGAAATGTGGAAGCTAATACACTTTTCTGTGTACTCGTCAAAAATGTATTTGTGCGGAAGTGAATAATATGATATTGTTTAACATTTAGATGTACGAAAAGTGTTTTTTTTTATTGGAATTTATGATACTGTGGGTATAAAATGTGCAATGTATCCATTGATAACAATATTTAGGCTTTATTTCAGAACGTGGGATAGACAATTAATGTGATAATAGAACGGTAAAATAAGCAGCTATAATGGAAGGGTAGAGTAAAGTACATCTACAAATATGTTTATAAATAGGCACTAAATTTCTCTAAAAGGTTACATTTTAGGCCATCATTGATTTCATTGAAATACAATTACTGTCGCATACAATCAGAGTGAGCTACAAACTATCAATGATATAGATTAAAATATACATGAATACTGAGTTATATAATTTCTAAAATGATATTTTCGATGATAAGTTAGTAAGACTAAATAATTCCATTAGGAGGATACAATAGTTATCAAAGGATAATTCCGCAAGTTGAGAGTACAAAATCTCAAATGAATACAAGTTTCATCTAAATATTAAAGTATATCAAATAATGAAGTCATTACGAGCAACTTAAGCTAGCTTACTTTTATGTTATTACTAATATTGTACATTTTAAACAAAATTAACATAAATCGCAGATACTATACAAGACCGAAGTCTGTGCATACCGCAGCTACATCACGATTATTCTGCTTCTCAGAATTATTAGCGGCCATATTCAACTCGACTAGCGTATCGACGCTGTTTATACTGACACCTTTTAATATCTTCTGTGCGGCTAAACTGGTAAAATTGAAGCTCAAGTCACTCAAACTGGGAAAATTGTATATATCCTGGTTTTCTTTCTTCACATCCTGACTCAGGCTGTACCTTTTCTGTTTGTTTTCTAAACTATTGATTTTCTCCGTCGATGTATTAATGTCTTTCAATGGCTCTTGGTTCTTCAGTGCTAGATTAGGTTCTGATCCTAATACCGTTGGCTTTTGCTCGATTCCTTTCGTTAACAAATTAGCTATCGACTCGGTGCTCATTCTGTTATTCACGTTCGGGAGGCCGTTCAACATTTGCAAAGCTGCGGCTTTTTTTAACAAGTCGACGCTTTTTAGTTCGCTGTTCGAATTTATATTCGTTTGTATGCCACTGTTAGCAGACGAAAAAGAGTTCTTTTGATATCTAAGACTACCTAAAGATCCAATAATATTATCGTAGCTTTTTGTGGGTGTCGAAGGATTACTGTTCGTTGTACCATCTATGTTATGAATATTATTGTGTATTGCCGGTGATGTGGGATTAGATGCGGCTTCGTTAGTGTTGTTTAGTTGATTTTTGTATACGAAACTATTGTTGTTCGTCGCGCCTATTTGTAAAGACAGCTTTCGATTATTGTTCATACCGGTGTCGTTAATGGAATTCTTAATGAATTTGTTCTCTTGTACTTTCACCGGCTCGGTTTCTTGAAATATTTGCTTGTTTTTTTCAACGCATACGTCAAAGGACGTCTCTGTTGGGTTTTTTGGCTGTTGACTCGATCCGTTCTGGGAAACTGATACAACTCGTGTATCGTCATTAAAAATGTAAATGTTGCTGCCGTTGCTAGTTTCTGTGACCTTTCCATTCTCGAATGTGATTACAGATCGAACTGGGGAATTTTGTACGTAAACTTTGGTGTTGGTTCCACCGTTCTGTGATATTGTATTTGTCGTCACTTTTAAAGTGATTGAATTATTGGAATTTGAGCTAGCCAACACAGATGTCGCGGGGTTTTCAAGTTTGGCTCCGAGTGTTTTATTATGCAAAGGCGTAGCTTTCTTGGGTGTATTTGGGCAGTTTTTTGGTGAGGTATTTCCGTTTTTTACAGTCTCGCCTCCAACTAAGGGCGGTTTGGTTCTATACTTATGCAGACTTTTAGGAGAGCTTTGCAAACTTTGTACCTTAACGAGGGATTGTGCTCTACTTAACCCGGACGTTCCGTTACTGTGACTAGGTGAGGGTTTCAATGTTCGATCTGAAATGTGTGACTCTAAGCTCGAATGTCCACTGCTGCTGGTATGGTAGTTTCTTTTCGGCGAGTTATCTACAATTTTGTCTTTACGCGGAGTCCGTTGTGTGTTGCTTTCCAAGCTCGAGGGTCCGCTGGTAGACGTAACATTATCAGAATAATCCACTCGCCGAAGACTTCCGCTAGGGCTGTCCCGCAACTTATCACTTCTCTGAGGTGATCCAAAATGATCTAAGATGGTTTTATTGGTAGAGCTTCTGCTTAACGTCGATCGTGGTAGACTTCCCGAACTGGGGCTGGAGTGCCTGACTGGAGAGTGGTCGTAGTGCACAGAGCCGGCCAGGCCCGATTCGGTTGAGAGATGCCTCTTGTGTCTTCGTGGTAGTGTGGATGAGCGGTTGCTTATTTCGGACCCATCGTAATAGGATGACACGTACGATGTTTGACTTTGCAGAGACTCCTGAAATGAAAGAGTACGTTTTAATTGTATTTTTAATCTACGAATGTCGTACCTCGATAGGAAATTTAGGTTGACCGTATTTTTTCACAAGAGATTTTATGTACATCGTTTTGAAGACTGTCTTTTGTTGGCCTGACTGATATTGCTTTTGGAATTACTACTCTTCGTATTGAATGTAGTTAATTATTTTCAAATCCTAAGCACCTTAGAGTTGGTCTGCGTGGCGACGCAGTGCAGGTGCACGGCCTTGGAGTTGAACCAGTCGGCGGGCGGGAACTGCGCAGAGAAGGTGCTCATCGCGCGCGCCGCCTTGCTGCGGCCGCTTCGTCTGAATAAGCGGGACAGCAACGACGCTTTCTCTGAAATGCACAATAATATGACATAATTAATGTAATACATCACAATCACTTTTAAATTGGCAATAACAAGAATACGAACGGTAACTATGCTTGTTTTCCTAATCTTAAGATATTATTCTGACGTCCGAGAAGAACAACAAAACTTACTTGGCGACGCAGATTCAACGCTGGGCGGGTAATCGGTGGAGGAGGAACTGTCGGTGGTGTTGACGTTCTTGTGGTGCAGGCTGCGCGTAGAGGCGCACCGCTGCAGGTACTTGCTGGACGAGCCAAATATCCGCAGCGAGTGACGCCGGTCCAGCGACCGCGGCGCTGGAAACGACGCGCTCCGCCGCTTGTTCGGACGACCGTATAATACTTTATCGTTTGGGTTGCCTGTGAGGAAAAAAATATTGATTTATTTTTTAGTGTAGTTATCTATTAATTCCTAAACTTCTTAGTTTTTAGTATAAAATACCCATGAAAAAATAAGATTTAACTCTATAATATAAAAAAAAAACTGTAATCGATTGAAAAATATTGATACAATCTTGAGAACGTACCATTCCATAGAATTCATAATACACATCATAACGGAGCAATAACAGACACGTCATAATTTCAAATGATATACCTTACGCCGTTAGACGTTAACGTCATTAAAAAGGTAAAAATATAGCTACAATCTGTATTAACATATCAAAGAATTAATTGACGGTGAAGCATTAATGAAAATACTGCTAAAACTTTAATACCAAGAAAGTTATCTTGATTTTTTTTTTATAGGAGAAGGGGGCAAACGAGCAACGAATCGCCTATCTTGATTTGTGTTAAGAATCAAGTGTTAATTACTATTCCGTGATTATCAGTCTCTTGAAGACTGTGATAATGTGTCTCATCGCGTGCTTGCTCTATAGCTAGACTTCATTTTACAATTTTTGCCGCTTTTCAATGACAAATATTAAATTAACTCACACTTACTAAGGAAACTTACACTTTGTTAACTGCTTGTTAATATTAGCATTCGAATGAGTGGTAAGCGTTAATGTTTTAATCATAAAGTTGTTTTTTATAAATGTATTTATGAGTTCATTAAAGGTCCACTTAAATTACTAGTCAATGGCATCAAACGAATACGTAAACACAGAGTAAAAACTGATCGACCTGCAAGAGGAAATACAAAAAGTGATCGCAGATAAAGTGAGCACCACACCTAGCAGCATTCCTCTCCATCTGCAGAGCTTGATAGATAACATTCGAATCAAAAGAAATGGATACATGACATTTGTAGACGCATCCGTCTCTGTAAAGATGCGACCACAGGTTCATAATTTTCATTAATATTAATGACAATCTCGATATCGATTATAGATCTTTAAGAGATGATAGAATATCGCTATGAAATTGAATACTTTATTATATTTGCTAGTCTAATGGTTCTTACAGACGTCTTAATCTTCACTATCACGCAGGGAGGTGAAAATATTGCATCAATGCACATGTGCACATGCGACATATTTAGGTAACGATACCTATTTATGTAAACGTCCGTACACGTGACAATAATTCATAACACTTAAAATTTACATTGAGAACTAAACTTTTTGAACATCCTTCCATTGATAAATTAATTATAATAATATATTCTTAAGTGTAAGATAAAAGTTCAGTGTGAACGCAGGTTAGTAAAGCAAAGCACATGCAACAAGTGACGCACAAAGAGCGAAGCTCGCAGATGCGCTATAAATCAGCTGTGAACTTGCCAGCCGATCCGATTTACTGAACTCGAATGTTTTTACGACGTAGTCCTTTTTGCAAGCGCGACCGAGCAGCAAGTTAAGCACCATACCATTTATTTATTTTGGACTGCCTCAGTTGACTCAGACAATTGAAATAGCCTGTTTAAACAGGTCCTAAAGTTTGACATTCATAATGGTTAATGTTGCCCTCAATAACATACAGTGTTGCCATAATATAAACATTGACTTGGAGTTAAACAGCGGGATTTGCAACCTCGTAAACAACATCTTAATTGGTATTAAAATATTATTGTGAAATTAACTTACAGTTTTAGATTGAAAGCTTCAATGTGTTAATTATTTTATGTAGTGTTTAACTATCCATCATAGAAAGATTAAAAACAGGGTTACAAAGTTAAACAGGAAAATGATGTAAGCAAAATTTAATTTTATAGTAACTTAAAATAAACTGAGTAAAGTAGGTATGGAATATGACAAATTATCATTTCAACCCATATTTAAGATGGCGCCTGGAGTCGCCTCGAAATAGCACACGTAAAACAAACAGCGGTGACGATGTATGCAAATCAAGCGGCTCTATCCAGTTAAACTGAGCGTCGTCATTCCACTGGCATCCGTATCCATTAAAATACCTACCAACATATCCTGAGCTGTTAGTCCACTTTACACAAATAGAGTGGAACTGGAATGTCGCACGATTTTAGCGCACCTTCTGTCAGATAACTTGCAGATAAATCTAGCTGCATGATTAGTGTTACGCACTGAATAGAATGTCAGAGGTAAACGGATGTGAAATGTGGTTTATACGTCTTAATCTTATCATCAAGAACCATATGTTCCAACTTCCATTTTATTTTTTTTGTATATAAAAATGTGAATTACGCTAAGGCCTACTTCAGAGGGCCTACATGTTTTCGTAACATTTGTCATTACATTTGAAACAAAGGAATGTATATACTTATATGGGTTTCCGGAACTGGGCAGGGCGAACTTATTGTCTTTAAACAAGCAGACTGGGCGAAATAATAAAGGCGTATTTAAGGATGCCCTCAACTAGACGAAGTTATGATAAAATATAAAAGAATACAGAACAGAATACATAAAGCTCAAAATTAGAAACTAAATAGAGATCAAGATATTAGTTAACATTACAATATTTCTTTACAACCTACCCTCTTATCATATTTGCGAATGAAAATGTTTAAATTCTTGAAATATAGAAATAACGATCTTTGATATTTTCATGTTAAAATTTATTGGAAATCACTTTTTAATAGAAATGCAAAGATACTGCCGCTGTCAATAATTACAAATGATGATCGTTTTGCCAACGTTTACGTTCAAGTATTAGCTCTTGATTGAAATAAGGGGGAGTATACATTGCTTAAGCTTAACATTTTTGAAAGAAGGCAGCTGTATAGACTATTACTTTTCACTTTTTTATATTAATCAGAGCGGTTTACAATTAAAACGATAGAACATTGCGGAATGCAACGTTAATTGTCGATTGTCCTACTTTCGAATTTCTGTCATATTTTAAAAACAGTGGACGGATCCTCTTATTCCTCTGATGGAGTTTGGACAACGGGTTTCCGAATTGTAGCAACAAACGCTCAGTTAACTTTTATGTATTCACACCACAATACATTCCGATTCCCATACAAAGAAAGCCAATCATAAGAGAGCTGCCATCGCTTAACCATCTCTAAGATTCACATTTACATGGCAGAAAGCATACGCATTAATATTGCGGGATACAGACACCTGGACACCAGTTATTAAGGCAATTATCATTTAATTTCCTATTTTAATAATATTTTTTATTCCGTAGGGCTCAAAGATTTTATTATAGTTTTCCACATGTACGATTAACTTGGTTTATTTTAATATCAATTCACGATGCCTTCGAGATAGCCATATATGTAAGTAAATGATATGTTAAGGACGTGCTTCCATGGCTATCGAATTTCTCTGATGCTTGTTATAATCAAAATAATTTGTACTTGAAAAGGAACGCTTTATACCAAGTAGTTTTTTTTTATAACAAAGCAATAAATTCGTAATTTTATTAAATCTCATACAGTTATTTTATTTTCAAACTAAAACAAATTATTAATTTTACATGTAACGTGGTGCAATATGTATCTTAAAGTCCTTAAAAGGTGAACAACCTACTCAAGCGTACATTGCATTTCGTCCGAACAAACCAATCGTATTCAAGAACAAGTCAAAATAAACATTGGCAGCGCATAAAATCATCGCTACCGTTGCATACTACAACTTAGATGAAAATAAACATTCCCTAGGGCTGCCACTACTCCCGGTGCGTTCTATTGTAGATCCCAGGAACATCGCAATCATACTTGAGGATGACCACCGAGAGGGTTTTAGTGAGTCAAGTCTCACATAACCTTGTCTTTCTCCCAGAAGGCAGGGCATCTTTTAATGATCGCCCCCCTCCGATAAAAACCGCTACGCTACCACCAGCGTAATATACAAAGAATAACTACTATTATATTTAAGACTATTTTATAAGCAGTATGTGTTTTGTATTATTATTAATAATATTTAATTATACTTTATAACATATTTTAAATGATAAATTAATATTCGAATATGTCATCCCTAGGAAGCCGTCCATACAGTGTTGCACTTCACGCAACTACTGATTCTCACTCGGTTATCACTTTTTAAATTACTTATACCATAATATGCATAAAAAGTTTATCTCTCTTTTGCAGTGTTACCGTATACATTATTTAAATACTGTCGTATTTTTTCTAAGTTTAAGGTCGAACAAATGTAAGTAGAGATACTCTCATAACAGGCACTCTACTATTTAAATGAAGTAAGAAAGTTAATTACTTACGAGAAATAAGTGAGAACTCGGAGTAAGGGACACGCGGTTCAAGTTACATTGGACGTAGGACGAGGAAGTTATTTTGAATGCACTTTACAGCTGATATTGATTGTTTACAACTTGATCCTCTAAACACGTGAAACATATTATCGCTTCCAATTATAGCAACATTTCTTTGGCGTGAGTAATTTAAGATTTGTTACAGATAATCGAATGTTTTGTGTAGAGGGAACTGTTATGGTATAATTTTGAAATGAAAATTTCTTTGTATTGAGACATGATAAGTTATGTTACGAATATTGGAATATTGTTTCATAGGGTTGTTGTTACAGTTCATCATTGACATTCTGAACTTCTAATAACATATCTCCCTTGGGTGGTCCGCTGCTACACCGAATTTAATATAATACACGTGGTCTAACGTCACATTTGACGTTTCTTTTACATCGTACGTTTTCGATCCACTTACGCGCGTGTCATACCTACGAATAAAATGCACTTTGCCGCAGTTGCATACCGCCGGCTGACCTACATTCACAACGAGCTCTCCAGCCGCATCCGTTTCATTAAAAATAGCTGCTTTATACGCATTTGCTATCTTCCACATCCCCCACCAGCAAGCTACACCTCCCGTCCCCCGGCTATACCTTCCCCCACTCTTCAAAATAAGCGGATGCATTTTAATGGACGTAAATAGAATAATAACAGCGCTGAAGATGCTTTTGTGTAAGCTGCATTTTATGTAATTTTTTGGGTTATATGCTTATTTAAGAGAT